CTACAATTCGGTCTGCTTGTCAGTATGAAGAAATGTGATGTATTATGAGAAAAGGAATGTATAGACTAAATGCTATCAATACATTTATAAGCTGCTTCTAGTGATGAGAACATTTTTGTTCTAGAGCTTCTTTAAGGAGAAGAACGGATTTAGAAACAAGCAGCGCCCCTGGAATTAGGAAGTATACCATTTCCTTTCTGATTCCTTTTTCCTGTGCTAACCTCAAAGATGAAATGAGGCATCCTACAAGAGGGGGTTTCCACCTTCCCCTGAGATATGGACAGTCCTTGCTTGAGACCCAGAAAGATATCCATGGCTGGAAGGTACAAATGGTGTGTATAGACCATGTGTATGGACAAGAATGGAGGTGAACTGACCATAAAGAAGACCTGTCACTATAGCAAAGATGCAAAACTGTCATCTAAACATGGATCCAGGTTCCAGGAGGAACTTAAAAATCAATAAGCAAATACCGACTTTCAGCTCTAATCGCCAATGTTCTGAAATGCCCACTGCATTAGAAGCCTCCCGATTAGTTAGAGTGGCTCAGAGCAGTGGTCTCCAAACTGTGGCCTGGAGGTGGATGCAGCCTTTACCTTGCCTTTTTCTGGTCCTTGGTGCATTCTTCCCACTGACACCATTGTTGGGGCACTATTGCTCCTGCTGACACCATCGATTTGGTACTATTCACTCCATTGACACCATCAAAGGGGCACTATTCCTCCCAATGACACCATCAGTGGGGCACTATTCCTTCCAATGACACCATCAAAGGGGCATTATTACTTCCACTGACACCATCAAAGGGGCATTATTACTTCCACTGACACCATCAATGGGGCACTGTTCCTCAAACTACAATCAATGATGGGACATTATTTACTGCCACTGACCCCATGGAATCTTCTACTGCTACTGGTCACAATCCGCGCCTCCTAAAGCCTGAAGGACAGTAAACTAGTGTTGGTGGTTTGGTGTGTCAGAGCTCAGACCTTTTAATTGGAGGCAATTGGGTGCTATTCCTCCCACTGACACTATCATTGGGGCTCTATTCCTCCCACTGACACCATTGAGGGGACACTACTATCCTCCTCCCGCTGACACCATCAATTAGGCGCTATTCTTCCCACTGACATAATCAATGGGGCAATATTCCCCCCCAGTGACACCATCCATAGGGCACAATTCCTCCCACTAACACCATCAATGGGACACTATTGCTCCCACTGATACAAACAATGGGGCACTATTGCCCCACCGAATCTTCTACTACCCTAGCCACAATCTGTACCCCCTAAAGCCTGAGGACAGTAAACTAGTGCTGGTGGTGGAGGGGGGGGGGGTGCCAGAGCTCAGACTTTGTAATTGGAGGCACACTTTAATTGCTGAGCACCCGGGTACAGGGCACTGATCACATGAGATACTGCAGGCCTTCTTGAGGCATCTTTAATTATTTATTTTATATTATTACAGGTACTTTACGCAGCGCTTTACATATATATTATACATTCACATTGGTCCCTAAACCTCAAGGGGCATACAATCTAAGATCCCTAACTTACATTCATACATACACATACTAGGGTCAATTTAGACAGGAGCCAATTAACCAACCAGCATATCTTTGGAGTGTAGGAGGAAACCGGAGTACCCAGAGGAAACCCATACAGGCACAGGGAGAACATGCAAAGTTTTTGACGTTATAACTTTTCCAATAGTGGCACAACTTTTGATCACTGCCTAGAAATGGATTGGCAGGTTTGTTTCAAGTTTATGATTTTTTTCTTCATTCAGCTGGAAGAAATAATGTGTTTATGAGCTTTGTAGAGCAATGAACAGTGTTTCAGGAAATAGAGTATAGGTTGAGGGCTAAAGGCAGAGTTTTAATAAAACTGGAACTGGCAGAGGCAGGTTGAAGTAGTATTGGATTCCATTGTATTGTACATTGCAGTAGTACTGAATTCAGCTGTATTGTATATAGAAGTATTGAGTTCAGTTTTATTGTATATTGAAGTTGCACTGAATTCAGTTATATTGTATATAGAAGTTGCACTGAATTCAGTTGCATATTGAAGTAGTATTGGTTCATTTGTATTGTATTTTGAAGTAGTATTGAGCTCATCCTTCATGAGAAGTCTTGCATCTATGGCTGTAGCCCCAAGATTTACCGGTTCCAATGAGCCACCTGATCTTACTGTCATCTACGCTTCATTTTACGATACGCTCCTAACTATTAGGCTGGCCATACTCATATGGAAGAAAAATATATTTGAAATATATTTTAAAAATATTCTTCCCAAATATATTGCCCATATATTTGAAATACTACAATTTTGGCCATATTCAATATATATATATATATATATATATATATATATATATATATATATACTGCATGCTGAGAAGCGTTTTTTTTTTATATTACTTCTCACATGAAAGAAAAATATACTTTAAAAATATTTTTCCCAAATAAATTGACATATATTTGAAATGCTACAATTTTGGCCATATTCAATGTATTTCAATAAATATATACTGTATATATATATATATACTGTATGTTGAAATGCGTTTTTTTTTACAAAATATATGAAAAATATATTTTTTAAACATACATTTCAAATATACTGTATGTCTTTAAAAAGGCAAATCTACATTTTTGGAATGCATTTACAAATATATGTAAAAATGTATGTTAAAATTACTTTTTTATATGTTAAAAAAAAAATCTGAAGAATATATTTAAAATTTAAATGTAAAAAATATATATTTAAGAAAATATATGAAATATATTTTGAAAAATATATAGAGTGGGTTCTCATTCCCCCTGTAGTATCAGCTGATGAGCTGGAACGAGTCAAAGCTGAGCCTGGCATCCACTTCCAACCCACGTGTACATTGACTGCTTCAGAGTTTCCCAGTAGCCATTTTGCTGATCAAGGTTTGCTGTACTTGATAGACCATGGACACCACCAGGATCCTTGCTCAGCCAGGATGCATTTTGCCCATCCAATGGGATTAGTCATGGAGAAAGATCATCTCTATGGCTCCATTCTTTTAGAATGCAAATATGTGCCTTAAGATATTCTCTTTGGTGAAAAAATTGCTTCCAATTCTGAGTGGAATGCAACCGTTGTAAGAGTCAGATAGAAGGGAAATTCTACCTAAAACTCCACTGAGTGGCATGGGGCAAGTCTTGCTCCCCGATGGTTCCTCACGGTTGTCTAAGACAGCCTTTTTCAACCAGGGTACCTTCAGGTTTCTTCAGGGGTGCTTTGGCAAAATGCCAAAATAATTGCCCAAAAAATGTATACAATCCAGTGGGTGAACGAAGCCTACATTTTAGGTACACAAAGCCACAGATTTTCATTGTGAACCATTACAACCTTCTAGCTGCCGGAGTCCTAACAACCAATTATGTCATCGGTTGATAAGGGGGATGTCGGACACCTGCACAGCATCCTTGTTTGCCCCTCTCCATCAGCACTGGGGTCACATTAGCTAATTTAGGGAGAGAAACTGAGAGTGAAGAGAAACACTGTAGTATTAGTACCAGTGTGCAAAGGTGTATTTGCTTTGTAAGAATAACTCACCTCTAACATTGGGTGTCCTACGTCTGTGGATGTTGCTTCATTATATACTATTAGTTTAGTTTTATACGTTTTAGAATGGGGTGCCTCCAGATTGTGCAAATAATTTTAAAGAGTGCCTTGACTGAAAAAAAGTTGATAAACACTGGTCTCCCTTCCATGGGTCCCTTTCATGGGTGCCACTGCTGAACTGGTGAATCTTGGTACTTCGGCCAGCCATGGATCTGATTTACTGTTCACAAAGGCTGAACTCCAGGCTGACATAAAACATCACTTTTCAATCCAGTCATTGAATATTTAACCACTTAAACACTGATATTATTATTATTACTATATTATATTATTAATTATTATTATAGACCACAGCAATTTTACCATTTCAGCTATAGGCCTACTGAGTAAGCACTACCCCATTATTTATCAAAGGGATATTGGGGATACATAATTACAGACCCTTTGCTAGTTATACAGTAAATACGTATGTATTTCAACAGTATATGGACAATTATCCAGAGTTTCACTTTAGGGACATTTACCTATATTTTAACTGTTTAAATGTTTTGCTGAAGCTTGGTGCAATCATCCTTAAAATCAGTGATAGGCAACCAACAGATCTCCAACTGGGTGGAACTACAAGTATCACCGTGTCCTGTTGGGTACCTGGTTGATTTTAAACACTCCCTGTCTGGTGGCTCATGCTGAAACGTGTAGTCCTACAACATCTCCAAATCCACTGGATTAAAGGGTCAGTCCAACCAAAATTTATATCAAGTGAGCTGAATCTCAAGGGGGTTTCTCTGATTCTTTAGAGTTTCCAATAAAGTTTGTTGCTTTATCACGCCTTACAACCATTAGCAAAGCAAGAAAAAGTGTTTTACTAGGGTCTCATTCCTCCTGCTGAATTCTCTGCAATGGAAAATAAAAGGAGAATCCAGTGATATTAGTGAGATCCTCACTTAAAGTGTGGCAATGGGAACTCACAAGCACAAGCCACAGACATGAAAAAAAAAAATACCTAAATCGGTTAATCAACTATCTTCAACATCCATCAAAAACTGAAATATCACATTTGTGTGAGCTTACCCTTTAAATTACTTTTCTTATTGATTCCTATTTTGACAGAGTAATCTGCACTGATAGGAAGAACGTTGATCAGAGACAAACTCTAATTTCTCCAAAAGGAATTCAAAGGAGCTGACACCACTACTGTCATGTCACACATTAGAAAATGGAGAATTTTTAGTAAAAAGGAGAAAGCCCCTTTAAATACAGACTGCCGAAATTCCCTAATTACTTATTTATTCATGCAGAGACCCAGTTACTTTTCCTATGAGAAAGTCACACAGGCTGAATTTGATACTTAAAAAAAAAAAAAAAGAAAGAAAGAAAAAGAACATTAGTAAAACGTACCTTGTTCTTCCAAGATTCCGATCTTCTTGTCTCCAGAGCTGACGTCTGCTTTACGGCTTTTCCTGGACCTTAAGAAATGGAAAGCACGGCCTTTTAACATTATACCTGCACCATGAACGTCTTCTGATAGAGCAAATACAGGAAGTGTCTTTCTGATATGGTTAAGTTCCTGTTACACTGACAAACTTTAACACTTTGCTGTATGAATCAAACTAACGCGAAAAGACTCATGCTCATATTTTCCTGTTCTGCGGCCACAGTCCATGTGACCTGTCACTCAGCTGGTGACTGTATGATAGATAGGAGGTTAGCACGTCTGCCATGCAGCACTGGGATAATGCCTGAGAATCTCAGAAGGGACACTACTTTAAAGCTGAACTCCAGCCAGATATAAAAGGTGTAACTATGTATTCATGAAAGCGACCCTTACATAACAATACAAACAATCAAAACCAGAACACATACCCTCCAAAAGAAAAAAATAAATCTTCTGCTGCACATGCTTTTGAATCCCACTGCCCACCATCCTCAGAAGTCTGCTAAAAAATTGACACATCCAGGAGTGTCAAGTCACCTGTGTCCCCCCAGTACTCACTGGCTCATCCAAGTCCTTACAGGGCACAGTGGTGATTTTCAGGTCAATGGGAGTGTAGTGCCCCCTGATGGCGGTTTGTGAAGCCAAATCCCACCCCAGGGAGCCTGCATGACCAGCTTTCAGCCTGTGTGGTTGGAAACCTTCCCTGATTCTGGCTCATACTCCACAGTCAAAAGGTCTTTTGCATGGGAACTACACAACTACTATGCAACTTGTAGGAAAGTGCAGTCTGTTTTCCCACTGTAGGTGGTGCTCGTCTGGAGCAGTACTGCAGCTAGAGGGGAAGTCAAGAGAAACTTGGTTTCTCCATGGCTCCCTTGATCCCCCAGAAGCAGCATTCCGGCTGGCTATGCTGCATCCAGGTGACACTGGCAGCCATCTTGGGTCACACAGAGTCTTTTTAAGTCCTTGCCCCCAGGTTTTGGGCACACATTTGTGAAGTGACTAGTGCAGGGAGAGTGTACCCACCTGACAGGGACAGCACTAGTGATGGGGAGAGGTTCCAGAGGAGTAGGAAAAGCTGAGGGCCCTTTTCCACAAAACCCCTCTTGGGTTGGACCAGCCAGACTACATTCCACCTCCCTTGGCAAGCACTATCTTCAGTTCAGGCCTACTCATTGCTGACTGTAATTTCCCGGTCTGGTGAGCTGCCTGCCAGGCTGTTGTACTGTTTGCACGTTTTAAAATACTTTGGTTACTGCAGTCTGGGCTTCTGTGTGATTACTGCCGTCTCACCACGCTGCATCTACCCAACAAACTGAGTTGTCTAGGGCCTCAATACCATGGTTTCACACCAACCCGGCCCAAAAACAATGGGATCTGGTCCAGACAGGAGACCCATCACCACCAACAGGTAAGCCAACAATGCTTTTCTTGATCATCAGCAGTCCCCAACCTGAGCCCCGAGTCACACTTACTTATAGTTTCCCAGGTATAGGCCACTGATATGACAAGGCTCAGTCTATTTTCTTTTCTTTTGCAATAGGCTTTATAATAGTCCGTCCACAAAGCATATCATTTAGCAGTTCAAAGTGACATCCATTACTTCATGGTTCCACCACACATGGTTTGTTCTATACAGCACCATGCCCGATTCAGAGTTCTCTCTCCTACAGAGTATTCCAGCTTCCTAGCATAACCTACCAACGGGAGAGGACAACAGTGTCCCCTAAGGAGGAAAGCTCATACTAGGTAGTATACATTATTGAAGATGCAGGCCCCGGAACTCCTACATACTATCATCAACAAGGACTCCCCAGGACTCCACCCCTCCCTCTCATTTATACCTACAACTAGGAAGGAGATGGAGATCCTTAGAGGGAAAAAAACTAAATTACACTCCAGAGCCAACATAGGCACATAGGGGTCCTACAGGTGGGCCAGCAAGTGCTAAGGGGAACACAGGAGGTTAACACTCCTGAAAGTGTTGGTTTCCCAGCAGACTTCAGGGGGCAATTCTTCAACACTGGGATTACTACTGGACACTGCAGGCACCAGGAGAGGTCAGTATCATTCTTCTTTTGCATGGTATGAGTTTGGCCATTTTTATAATTATGACAGGGCAGCTTTAATGCATCAGTGAATGTTTTTTGTACATTCAAGCAGTGTAAATACCCGAATTTGACCTGGTCTAAGCCTCATACTTATCTGCTACACACCAAAATCTTCCCTATTTGGCCTGCTGAGAGTTGCACAGCCTCTCCAACCAATGTCTCCTGGCCGAGCTCTGCTTCCATTAATTCCTATGGAAAGACTGTCCATCACTGATGAATAATAGATGGTCTTGACAAAGGAATGAATATAGATTCTTCTGTGCAGCGCAGCCTGACCAGGAGACATTCAGTGAAGTCGCTGTGCAGCTCCCAGCAGGTCACATAATGAATAAATAAGAGTTTAGAGGGTTGCTGAGAAGGCTATAAAATGCACTAAAAGTACAATTATCCTGTAGGGGGTATTATGGTTCGTGTAACAAGCATTTGCTTGTGTGCGTTGTGTTGTGTAGGGGTGATGTGATATGTTTCCTTTTTTTACCATTTTTAAAATTTGTGTTAAATTGTTAGAAAGTCCCATTTCATTCAATTCTATGCACAACACTGCACTGTGTAGTTTATTGGCATGCACTGCTGTGTGTTGCATTGTGTAAGGCTTTGTTTACAGGGATGGCAAAGGGGAAGTAAAAACTGACAGTTAAACCGTGGCGTTACTGCTCAAAAACTGCCAACCTAAAATATAATATGCAGCCAGAGGGGGTTTTATACATGCTGCAGCCTGTGATACCTGGCCTTATGTGTGTACCAAATCTAACTCAGCTTGCTGAGTTAGACACTCAGCGTCATGTGTCAAACTTGTCCACTGAAGTCAATGGGGTATTTACCACAAGGCAAACAAGGCATTTGCCTAGGACGGCATCTTTCAGGGGGGCAGCTGCATTTTTCAGGGGGGGCAGCGCCACCCCCCTAAGGAAGGGATGGAAGAAGAGACACACACAGCATGAGGACCAAGTGGGATCTGAGAGAGGCTGCGGGCTGCTTGATGGTGTATGCAAAGCCTGACTCTTGTTCCCGGGGATGTTTGGAGCTGTGAAGGTGAGTGTCTTCTCTCTCGCCAGGGTAGGGGGGGGTTGCCAGTGTATGGGGGGCGGTGGTAGTGGAAGGCTCTCTTCTCGGGTGGGGGGGATCAGGTGTTGTTGGTCAATGTCAGGTACTCTTCGTGGGACAGGGGGCTGTTGGTCGGTGCCAGGGTCTCTCTCTGTGGGGGAGCTGATTTTTGTGTTGCCTAGGGCAGCACGAAACCTAAATATACCACTGCCATGTACGTATATGAGAAAGTATCCTGTTCTCTTTCTATTGCTTCCTGCCAGTCCTTCTGCTTTCCTATTAAAAACTAACCACACTAAGCAGGAGAGCACAGCATGGTCAGTTCCCTAGCTATGTCATTCACTGGGAAGTTCAGTGTGCGGTTTCTCCTCCCCCAGCTCTTATGCAGCTGAGAACAGAGGCAATGTGATCACTTATAAAAAAAGGGGAAAAGGTGTTTACTATGGTTTTTTTTACATCTATACAGAAAGGCTTTGCCTTTCATCTCTATTTTAAACTGTACGAGTTGTTTTACAAGGTGAGGGTTCACATATGCTTTAATGATGTATTAATGATTACAGAACTGCATTTATGTATGTCTGTTATATCTGCCCAAAGCTTATCTTGAAAGAATAAGTTCACCTTTCATATAAAATGTTACCTGTACACTCATACTCAGGGTGTAACATATTATGAAAGGACTGGCCCTCACTCCTCCCCGCTCTGACAGCCCCCCTGCTAGCTGTCAAAATGTTTAAACAACGTGGCCGTAGCCTGGGAATGTAATGTTGTTCGGCTTTGGCGTTCTTGGATCCCTGCTCTTGGTTTGGCTATCCTTTTTTCTTTTGTACTTCTCCTTCCTTTCCCCCCTTTTTTTTTGTTTGCTTTGGTGTGGCAGTGGATATCTGCTTTAGTCTGAGTTATTATCAGTGTTATATTCATGTTTTGTTATTTAAGTGCCATTGATGACCCCTGCGTGGGCATATCTTTTGCCCTGTTGGTGTTAGAGCACTGATTTCTCTAATTTCTAGTTCCTCTATGTGCAATTGATAGCCCCTGCGTGGGCGTGATTTGTTGCTCCTGTATTGTTATAAATTAATAAAAAACATTGAAATACAAAAACGTGGCCGTGCGAGGCTCAGTCCACTGTGAATGAGAAAAGCACAAGCTTGCCAGCTTAAATCGTATCTTTGTAGTAATCCGTCATTACATAACCTCAATCAAACAATTAGAGGACTTTTACCTTAGAAGGTACCCAGCCAGGATAATGAGCGCAAAGCAGACGAGCAGTGGTACCAAGACCGAAGTTAATAAGGAACTGGGGCCAGGATCAGTGGGTTTTGTAGTATCTGGAAAAAACAGAAAATGTAAATCAATCAGAGAGAAACTCCAGACGACACATGAAATCATTCAATACTTTGTAAGGAATCTGTCTGTGAAGCAAGATACCTTTGTGAGAGGGCTCAGCTTGAAGCTGCCATTCTCTGACTGCCAGCCTGCATACTAGTTGTAGAATAATGAAACTGAATCTATTCAGCTCTTGAATTAATAAAAGAATTAAAAAAAAAAAAAATACAAATTGCACGTTTTTGCTCCCTGGTTGGTTACCTTTAAATCAGAAACCCCCATCAATCCATCCAGAATTCTCTGCAGAAAGGTTAAGCAGGGTTTTCAGAGTGCCTCTGGAAGAGCCTGCAGCCTATCATTGACAAAGTTACTGCTTCCTGAATTTAGTGCCTCCAGGAGGTAGTTTAGGGGTGGACTTGTTAAAACCCAAATTAATTAGATTAAATCAGCTAACACATCCCAAGGGCATTAAATTAAAAAATTTGCAAAATCTTACAGTTTGTTGTTGTTACAAGCACTGCTATCCTGAGTAGAAAAGTATGTCCCTTGCCAGCTGCCCTGTTTGGAAGCAGTGGTCTCGCCGCAGAGGTCTGGCACATCCCTTGCTGGCCTATAGCTCTGGAATAAGCAAAGCTCATGCTCAGCGCTGACTGGAGGGCTCTGGCTCTGACTGAGCAAGAAAAGTAAGTAGCACCTCAGCAGAGAGACCACTGCTTGCCCGCAAAAAGCAATGGTCCTTCTCTGCAGCAACCTGGCAAGGGGCAGGCACTGTAACGAAAACAAACTGTAAGACTTGGCACACTCTTTGTATTTGGCTTTTTTTTAAACTGATGTTCAGTTGGGTTTTAACATAAGTTATGTTTACATAAAAGGGATGATAGGGTTGGGCTCCTTGGCCAGTAAAATCACCAGCTCTGGATTAACAGCCTCCTAAAACACCATGTTACCAGAGACCAGACAATTTTACTTAGCAGGGTGCCCATGTATATAAAGCAGTGCCAGGATGACAATGAAAATGCTCTGGCATTTAGAATGTGCCACCTCTATGAATGAATGCTCCAGTGACTGGAGTCCATGGCTTTGATACTAACTGGTGCCATACATATAAACAAAAGGGTTTTCACATTTCACGATGAGCAACACAGTGGCTAAATGGTTAGCACTTCCACCTGGCACTACTAGGGTCGTTGGTTCGAATCCCAACCATGGCACCTCCTGCCTGGAGTTTGCATGTTCTCCCTGTGCCTGTGTGGGTTTCCTCCGGGTTTTCCATTTTCCTCCCACACTCCAAAGACATGGTGCTAGGTTAATTGGCTCCTGTCTAAATTGTTCCTAGTATGTGTGTGTATGTATGAATGTAAGTTAGGGACCTTAGATTGTACGCCCCTTGAGGGTTAGGGATTGATGGGAATGTACAATATATATGTAAAGCACTGCGTAAATTGACGGCGCTATACAAGTACCTGAAATAAATAATGATGGACCTTGATAAACATTTTTCCCTTCATCTTTAGACTCATTTATTGGACATCATGCAGCACTTCTATCTCCCCATGGATTTTTCTCTTGGATTATTTTCCAATGACGACATTCTGCCAAGCTGACTCTATACTGTATATAACGTGTAAAGATGAAGGTATATCACCTGTTAGGCCCCTTTCACACCAATCCATTGCAGTTTCCACTGCAGCACAGCGTATCCGCGGTTTTCACGCAGGTTATCCATGCCTTGCCATAGACTTCTATTAGATTGGACGATTTTGGTGCATTTTCTGAAAGCGCACCATAACTGCCCGATCTAATGGAAGTCTATGGCAAAGTGCGAGTAACCTCCGAGAAAACCGTGGGTGTACTGTGCTGCACCTGCGCTGTGGGGAATCCACAGGGGATCAGTCCTAGGCTTCATTCACACCTGGTTTTCCTGGCAACCCAACGCATTTTGTTGCACGGAAAACATGTTACAAATGTGCCAAAACGTGTTGTAAAAAAAAGTGCCACACTCCACTCCAAAAAAGTTCTGGAGTTTTCTTCTTTTGTTGTCTGTAGGGCAGCCTATTCAAGTGAATGGGTTGCTCAATGCGTGACGAGTGGAAGCAATTTAAAAAAAAAAAGGGAAGAAAAAATGCGCACAGGAAAGTGAGTTCCCACTACGGTCAGATGTGAATCTAACCTGAAAGGACCTTAGTCCTGGGAATTTTGTGTTTGTCTGCAGCATTATACACTACATGCACTGTTATTAGGATTTGGGTAACAGTCCCTATTCCTAGAGGCCAGGAAACCTCAACCTTTGATTCCTTAAAGTCTTTGAAGGAGTGCTGGACTTGTACTATTAAAATATTGCCATTTATTCTGCCACCTGTGTGCTATAAAAGGTACAACAATAATATAATTCATAATCATCTAAACTCATTTCTACCATTGTATGGTTTTCATCATGTGCAACCACACACGTCGTCAGCTACGTATGCAGGGCGCCTTCCTGTGTAGGGTAGCTGTGGTTGGGTTTTCAGACCTTTTAAATGTCTGAATACAGTTTATTATGACGGCAGACATATTTTAATATGTCCCTGTAATTTTTATTTGGAGTGTCTGCTCCCTGATCTCTCACCCTTCTCATACTCTCCTCATTGTCTATGTTCTACAAAAAAAAGCTCTGGTCTCTCCTAGAAACTTTTAGAGACAGCAAAGTGACATTGTCTATTACAACCTCCCCCCCCCCTCTTGAAAGCTTTCAGGATCTGATGTGCATTGCATTCAAGCCATTTCATTGTAATATCGCACATGTTATCACCTGCAGTACCAAAACGCATGGCAATGCACTGTAGAAAAAAAGAACAAAACAGGGCGCACTCTCCTCGTGCATTACCGTGATATATAGGAAATTTGTTATAAAATTACAAATGCACAACTCACAAGCCAAAAAGGTCATAAAAACAGAGATAAGGAGCCAAAGATGTCCATACTACTATAAGCCCCCCCACTACAGATGGACTTGGACACCACCTCCACATGGACCTTCTACTAACCCCCATTGCTGATGGTCCATCCCCAAACGCACACAGGGTAGATGCATCTTAGCGCTCCCTCCCCCCCACTCACCTCTGGGGGAACTGAAGTAACACTGTTCAGAGCTCAGTGAGAGCTGATTGGAAGGAAGGCACATCCCTATCCCTCCTTCACACAGAACACAGCAGAGGCTCTCAACCACAGGCTGTGCGGGGCTCCCTCCCCGTCACCATTTTTCTCTTGGTGTCAGGAAAATTTGTCAGAAACGACTCATGCAGACAGCAGCGGAACGAAGCAGCAGACAGAAATGACACTTAGTGTTTTTGGATTGAAACATACTATAGAGTGATATGAGTTGTTCATATTTCATGCCTGAAGTTTACAACCAATTTAAGGTGAAGCAGTAGGGAGGCAATAAAAACGTCGCTCCACTGCATTTTTCTGCTGCCACCAATCTTCAAGTGTATAGCTAAACACTACTATACCCCCCTTTTATCAGCTGGCCTGATCACAGTGTTTTTCTGTCCCTCCAAAGCATTCATTTTTTCCCCCTAAATTGGGTTAGAACCCCTTTCAGGTTTTTCCTGTCCTCCTATGTTATTAGAGAGATTTCCGCTCACGTCTTGTCCTACTGACAATAGTTTCACTGGATAGAAAGTGAAGAAAAATCTGCAATATGCACGCCAACAGAAATAAACATGTGTTCTACCATACCCCTACTCTACCTAACTCCTTGACGCCGACAGTACGCAAATATGTAGCTTCTTTGTGGCTGGGCCTTGACGCCAAGAGGCCGCATATATGCGTACCCAATGTAAAGAAATGTGCTGAGAACGTGCGCCCTGCAACTTGAGATCAGGAGCTTTCTGATCATGTGACTGCTGTGACAGCCAATCACAGCAGTCACATGACCTTAAACCCCGCCCCAGCTTCCGGGCGTCACAAACCCCTTAAAGAGTCAGGAGGTGCCGGTGCCAAGGGGTTTAAAAAGTATTTTTATTTCTGTTTGTCAGCAGGACTGGAAGTGAGGGGAAATCTCACCCTCTGGTCTTGGTTTCCACATTGTTAATACATGCAATACTATTCATTATACTAGGGTGGATGCTAACATTTATAGGGAACGTTGATCCAGGGAATATCCGATTGCCTCTCGGGGGATCAGGAAGGAATTATTTCCCTGCAGGAGCAAATTGGATCATGCTTTGCTGTTTTTTTTGCCTTCATCTGGATCAACTGTGGGTATTGGATTATAACTTTTTTTGTTTTTTTGGTTGAAGTGGATGGACTTTTGTCTTTTTACAGCCAGACTGACTATATAACTATGTGGGTAGGGGGGTTGTCTTTTTAAACAGGCAAGAGTTTAAAACATAACTTCAAAACTGTCTAGAAATCTCCACAGACCACAAAGCCCTCTGCAGCAGCAACATTCTAATGACTGCAGGTTACCCCTTAAACACTCTTGATTTCTGGCTTTGTCAGCCCCCGAGGGAAGAACGTTCATTGATTGTACAAGCTTGAGGGGCTGAATGTTACTGTGCAAGCTGTTTTCTCCCCATCCCCTGGGTGTCATTTTCTGCTAGTCTTGTCGTTTAGATCACTATGAGAAGCAGGCCTGTAACCGAGGAGTGCGCTCCATTCCGTCTGCGGAGGGCCAGGTGGAAGATGTACAACAACCCTGCTCAGCTCTTATTGTCAGCAATCCAATAGTTTGCTTCAAGGGCCCTCATCCTCATGTCACCATATCTGGTTATTCAAAAAGCAAAGATGATATGTAATGTGATGTAACCTCCCACATGGAAGAAAAAAATATATTTGGAATATATTTGAAAAATATTCTTCCCAAATATATTGACATATATTTGAAATACTACAATTTTATATATATATACACACACACACACACACACACACATACACTGCATGTCGAAATGTGTTTTTACTACAAAATATATGAAAAATATTTTTTAAAAATACATTTCAAATATACTGTATGTCTTTAAAATACAAATATACAT